GAGTACTGTAGCTCTAAACTGTTTATTTTCTTCTGTCATTAGTTGCTGAATGCATAGGGAAATGAGATCCTTGAATTTTCACAGAAACCACATTTCTAACCACTGCTGTGAACTTTCTTCTGATTGTAATTTTCAGAGTTGTACTAAGGTCTATCACATAGTGAGAATGAATAATTCTGCATCAATTCTAATTTGGCAGTTGACCATTTATCCCAAATTCCTCTAGAGATACAAATAACCTGATTCTCAGGTATAGTCAGGTCACCCACCAGAGCTTTTAGCATTCTTTTCACTATGGAAGGCAGTATGTCACTTTCTCAAAAAGTTGGAAAGAGAAATATCTTTTGACCCAGCAATTCCACTAATGGGAGTATACCCTAAAGAAAACAGGGCTGCCACCCAAACATATATATGTACACTCATGTTTATTGCTGCATTGTTCACAATAGCAAAAAGATGGAAGTAACCCAAGTGCCCATCAACAAATGAATGGATAGAGAAGTTGTGGTATATTCACACAATGGAATAGTATGCAGCACTGAAAAGCAAGGAACTAATAAAATATTATACAACATGGGAATCCTGGAGGACATTATGCTGAGTGAAATATCTCAAAAAAGGACAAATACTGCATAATGGCACTGTTATAAAACAAAACTTACATGGGGGTTAGGAGAGACTAAGAAAAAAGGGGATAAATAATGAACACTGGAACAGAAGAAAGAAAAAACTGCTTAAAAGGAATATATGATTAAGCCTTAAGTGTACGACAACAGTCCAGAATAAAAGGTGCATAGCAGAGTGGACTTGGATGGGGGGAATGGAGGAACTGATGCAACAATAAATGAAATCCAAATTTTCTGTAAACTTTTGTTAAAATCACAATAAAAAATATTTAAAAAGAAAATTAAAAGTGAGGCTACTTGCTGCATTGCTCCAATCTGCTTTATTATATCAAAACCATTCCTGAGGGAGCCCCAGGCCTCAAGTAAGTTTTATTCTTCTAGGTTCACTTTAAATTCCAATGTTCTGAAGTCCTCCAGGGTCTCAATGTCAAAATGTCCATTGGTTTCCAAGCTGTAAATCTATAAAAAGATGAGGAAGACACTGTCTCATCTCCTCCCAAGGAGTGTCTAGTAGTTTTGAACCCGTTTCAGTTAACAGTCCATTTAACATGTTAAGTCTAGGTTAATTTTGCTGGTAAGTGCCTCTTCATTGAGTACGACCCTAAGAACAACAAACCTGAACCAGGGATCAACCTTTTGAGCTCTTGACTTTGGAGGAGTTGGACACTGTAAGCCAAGGTTCCCTGGATCAGCTGAGGTGGTCATTCTGTGCCATGACCTTGACCTTTCATTTGTGAGAGAAATGGGCCACCTCCACCACTGGACCTCATGGGACTCAAACCCACTAGACCACCAACTCCAATTACTTTGGGTAGGGGCAACAGCTTAGCTGAGTCCTCCGCTGAAGCCCGGGCACTCTGAAACGGTGACTCAGGGCCTTACAGGCCTGTGTGCACAGCCAACCCTCGGGTCTGTGGGTCTGTTCGCCATCTATCCCCTCTGCCTACGCCTCCACTCAGTTATTCCACTGTGTTGGCCCACTGTGAGACCCCTGAAAGAAGATACCAGTTCCCTAATTCCCGCACTCCACCTCCCACAGAAAACCCCCAAGGTCTCGACCCCTCTTACACCCCGCCACCCTGGTGAACTTTCTCCCCAGACTCCACGGATTCTTCGCAGCCGTTTGACCCCATTTCACGTTAAATATGCCCAGCCACATCCCTAGGGAGCGGCGTGCGCTAATCACATCCGTCTGTTTCACCTGAGCCCCGGGTCCACGACGGCAGAAGAGCTGAGGGGGGGGGGGTACGTCAGCTGGGGCAGTGCTGGTGGGGCGTCAGCTGGGGTGGTAGGATCTGAAATCTGGCATCAGGCGGGGAAAGGAGCTGTCGGGAGGCTGCCCGCGGTGCAGCTCCCGCGCGGCCGCCACATGCACGCTTCTCCGCAGGCCCGGGTGGGGAGGACGCCCCCTGGCGCCTCCGCGCCGCGGGCCTGGGAGCTAGGCGAGCGCGCGGGGCGGAGCTTCGCGGGCCGGTTCGCGCCGCCGCTCCCAGGCTGGGTATTCGCCGGGATCCGCCAGGGCCTCTGCGGGGCCGCTGCAGCCCTCCAAGTGTGCGCTGCCCGGCGGCCGGGAGTGGGGAAAAGAAGTTAAGGTCAAGACAGAAAACAAAGTCAGCAGGTCACCCGGCAGGTTCTGAGCGAATTATGCAAGGAAAGCTGGGGAATGTTTGATGCGTCCTTCCCCCGGTACCTTCCCCCCTGCTCCTAGGAAGCCGGTTCCAGTTTAAGGGTTGGGCTGGGATTGACAAAGCTGCTTCTCTGATGTGGTTATGATTTTGCTAAACTCCTCAAGGGCAATTCTCCCTCCCCATCTTTAAGTAAGGGGAGCGAGCATTACTATGAAAAGAAATACATAAGAGGATGGGAAAGAAATATAGGCTTGGTCCAAAAGCAATGTTGAGACTCGACCTACAGTTTCCAGAAAGCGCCTGGCGGAGCTTTAGGTGAAAATGGGAACTACCGAAACCTAAACTGAATAATATCCATGTGCTATTTTTCTATTACTCTCCCCCAGGCGTTGGAGCTATACCCTTCACACGGAATTTAAAGAGTTAAAACTGGCCATAGCTGTTTGTTTTTCCTGCTAACTTTTGTGGCATTAGGACTGTTCTGTTAACTAGGTATATGCAATTCACAGAATTTCACGGTAAATTCCCCAGACCAAATATTTGGCTGAGCAAATAAACAACATTATCCATTCCTGAAAATAAGCCAGTAGAAGGAGGGGGAAGGGAAAATAGTGTTTGCTAGAAAGTGACCTGAGTTGGGGCAGCCACCAGATTCAGGCTTGAGCTCTGGCTATGTCATTCCTTCAAATACACAAGATCCTTCGGCGCCCAGGCAATGATAATGGACATTTCAGAAACTTGCTGCAAATAGGGATAAACTGAATGAGGACGCCATAGGGGAATCTATAATGGGTCTCCCCTAGGTGATTTATCCTAGCTCCACACCATTAATCAAAGGGACAAAGATCTGAGGTGCTGGGGAGGACAAACCTTATTTGCTGTGAGATTTGGAGATCTGTGGAGTATTGCTGCCTTTGCTGGGGCTCTGATCGCCTCTCTCCACCTGCGCTCTCCAGGGAGTTGGGGCTTTGGCAACCTCCCCACTTCTATTTTTATTGGTTTCCACTAAGCTGCTCCTTTTGGAGGACTGTAGAACTTTAGTAATTAAAAACAAAAATGAATCTTGCTTCACTCACTCCTTCCCCAACCCGACCTCCAGCAGCACATACCAAGTTTGGATACACAAACACAGGGTGTGCACACACATCATTTACAGAAAAACAAATGCCAGGAATGTGTTGTACCAGTTATGTTCTTCAGGTACACACACCACCACCCAGGTTTATACAATCGTGACAGAGAAACACATTTCTATCAGCTGGATAAAGTCTGGGCTTTTGGCCTACATTCATCCAAGCCTATGTGGGAAAAACAAAAAGGGAGAAGGCCCTAGAAGAAATGAGCCCTAGTATGCTAAGATTGCAGGGTTTAACTTGATTGCTGGTGGCAGACAAGAAAAAGCAAAGACTTTTCTCCTCTGGTCCACTTAACCTCTATCTTTCATCCCATTCCAGCAATCCATTTTCTTGTATTGCTGGCAGCCCAGAGCTAACCAAGGGAGACACCTAAGCATCATCATTTTTCATGCTGCCTTGAGGTTGAGCTTTCTCCTTAAAGTAACCCTGGCTCAGAACTCTTTCTCTAGGTAAGATGGAGAGCTTGGGGTATAAAACACAAGAGAGCCAACGTAAGTTGCCATTTGACTCAAGAGAGTCTATGTAGTAAAACATCCTCATACTACCTATTTAGAAATTCTAATCCTTCATCAATCCCATTGCCACCCTGTGCCTAATCCAATCTGTCAGAATTCTGAACCTGATGAAAGCATTCATGTAGAAAACAGTGAACAATGAAAAAAGTTAAGAAAAGCCAGAAAAGAGTTTTAACCACGTGACCTAATAAATACTGGTCAATAAAGTTTTTTTGAAGGTAGGGCAAAGATATACTATCATATTGGGCACAACCCACTTATCAAGAACCAAAAATGCCTATTTAAATTTAAAAAAATCCACAAACCTAGCATGCATAGGCACACACTCTTTAGCATATGCATTTATAGTTTTGGTTTGAAAATACAACCTTGATACTTATAATGACTAGAGATATTGTAAGGTATTATAAAAGCAAAAGTAGGAAGCATTTCTTTAAGTTGGATCATTTCTCCTTCATACTTGACTACTACTTCCAACAGGTGAGCAAACCCAAAAGGTGTAGGTAAGAACAATGAGCCCAAAACTGAGTCTTTAATCTGACCAACTCCTTTCATCCCACTGTTTCTCCAAAGCATGTGTCATCCATATGGGAGAGGATGCTGCGTCCTTGTTAACATTAATAGAAATGGAAAACACTTCATCCTGCCAACTACCATCTCTCTGCCATCAGTTTACTTCTAGTTCCTCCAACTGTGTGGAAGTCCAAGTAGAAAGTGGAGGTTTCTACTTGGACTTTCACACAGTTCCCAACGTTATCTCAATATAACTTGTAAAATCTCATTCAAGAGATGAGGCAGAAGGAAAAGAGAAGCAAAGAGAAAAAGAACATGGTTTTACCTTTAAAATAATGACTTATTTTATTTTTCTTTTAATACGTAGTTATAAATATATTTTGTCAAAATATATGATCAATATGGTCAAAACATTTGCACGTAAAGTCATAAATAAGGTCAAGGTGAATGTTTAGGTTTGGGGTTTTTTTCTCTCTCTTTTTTTTTTTTTAAGATAAAAGTCCAGCTATAAAGAAGCAGTCTGTGTAGTGTGTAAGTCAGTGGATGGGAACGTGTGTGTGTCTCCCCATGGACTGTTCAATCTCAGCGGCACCCACATCCCTCTACCACCATCTCCTGATAATTTTTCAGTACCACCTTGTCATACTCATCCAGGTACAGCATGGAGATGGCACTCAGTTCAGTGGGCACACAACAGGCTTTGGGGATACTGGAATTGACAGAGTTGACCAGGGTCTGCACAATGGCATGGTTGGTTGAATTGAGGTGGTCAGCCAGTGGAAAGGGGCAGTCCCCATGGCAGTAGAAGGCCTGGTAGCCTGGTGGAGCCACGATCCAGTCATTCCAGCCCACATCGCTGAAGTCCACATAGAGTGAGTGGCGCCGGCAGTTCTTGTTCTTCTTCCGGGCCCTCTGTGGGTGATGCTTAGGGCTACGCTTGGCCCTCCGGCGACGGGTCAAGGCATGGCCCTGACCATCATGGCCAAAGGTGACTAGGAGGGGCCGGAGTTGGGCCCAATTCTCACTCCCTTGAGGTAACGAGCGGCTAATCCTGACATGCTGGCCCTGGTGGGTCCGTGTCTGATGGAGGTGAGTCACCTCAATGGCCAGTCCATAGTTCGGTTGTTTTTCCCGGGTCCAGCGAAGGACTGCAGGACTCACATCAAAAGTTTCCCACCGCGTCACATTGTGGTGGACCAGTCTCGTGTCCAGTAGTCGTGTGATGAGGTGCCCAGGCACCATTTCTGCCGGGGGCTTCATAACCTCATAAATGTTTATGCGGTGGAAGCCCCGCTCCCAGTCAGGGCCCTGGTCCACCTGCTCCCGAAAGAGCCGAAGCTCCGCGGAAGAGATCACCTCGTTCTCTGGGATGCTGCTGAGGTTAAAGAGGAAACGAAAAGCAGAATTTTCGCTGGTCCCTGGGATGTTCTCCAGATGTTCTAGACACAATTGGGGAGAGGGGGGAAAAATCCACATAAACTTTTTTGTAAAGTTGAAAAAGTTAACAAATAGCTACGAGATGGTTGGTATGTGATGTATTTTGCTTAGACATTGGAAGCCTATACTGAGAAAATAACTCTTTATGTGAAAAAGCATATAAATGAAGCTACTAGCAAACTGGGAGGGGGGAGCTAAACCCAAAACACCCAGCATTCAGCAAACACCAAAGACAGAAAGTATCTCCCAACCTCCTTTATGTCTAATAATTTCCATGTGTCAACTCCTTACTCCACCATCATCAGACTCCCCTTTTCAAAACCTCTTGGCTTTGTGTACACTGTTTTCTTTACAAGTGGTTGTAAAGAAAAAGAGGGGCCAACAGAGCTGAGGCAGGAGGAAACATGCACACAGCCACCCTCTCCCTCTTCTTCTACTTTTGAGTATGTTACTAAACATTTCCCCAGTGATCTTGGAAACACAGAGCATGCCTTGTTGATCATGTTACAGAGAGGAAAATAAATTCCAACACAGTAATGATGCTGGTGGATTAATAACTCAGATTTACTTTGGAAAAGAAACATCCGCTAGGAAACATTCAGATCGGATTACAAGGCCCCTATTGAATAAAACTGACAAACACACAGCTGTAATATTAAATTCAGTAGGTGCTTTGGAAAGTAAAAAGAAAAAAAAAAAAGGCAGAAAACCTGGCAGAAAAGGCTTTGATATAGCAAAAACAAAAACAAACCGCTGGGGCTACCCACGTCTGAGTGGTGTCATGCCCCTTCCTCAGCCCCTCCCCCTCTGTCTCCAAAAAAATAAAATAAGCTCTGCAGTAGTTCTAGAAATTCATGGAGGGCAAGCAGCTCTGTTCCCCAGCCTTATGGATTGAGGCCTTTGAGGTAACAGGAACTCTCCTCCCCCTCCATCATTTCCACTGCTTCTCTGGCCAACCTCACTAGCATTTTCCTCATCCAGACCCCCCCGGCAGGGACTGACCTTCGTGATGGAAACTCCTCACGGTGTTGGCCCGGCTGGCAGGGCGCTCCGGGTACTCCAGACCGATACTGTGGATCTGCTCTTCCTCCTCCTCCTCCCCCGACTGGAGCCTGTAGAGATCCCGCATGTAATCCGGGATGACCGCGCTCTTGCTGGGCTGCGGCCGGCGGCGCAGCCCGAACATCTGCAGAAGCGTCGCCTCGAAGTCCCGCAGGAGCTCATGGCTCTGCCCTGAGCGGCGTCCTCCCGCGTGGCCCTGAATCTCGGCGACTTTTTTCTTCCCCGTCTCAGGTATCAAACTAGCATGGCTCGCGCCTCCTAGCAGGACTTGGCATAATAAAACGACCATCAGCATTCGGTTACCAGGAATCATGGTGTCTCTGGGGAGGGGGTAGGGGTGGAAGGTTAAAGAATAAACATCAATAAATAGAGAGAAACAGAGATGTCTCTGCATATGCATATTGGTCTAGAAATGGAGGGTCAAGATGTAAAACAGGTCAGAAAGATCAAGTTTGTGTCTTCTTCCTCACCCCCCTTAGCACCAGCTGCAGCCATGCGTGGCCTGAAAGTAGGAATTGCCCTGTAATTACTTGGTCTAACTTGTTTACAGTCAAATAACCCCAAATCAGATAGCCTCCATCCTGTTAATCTTTTTTTGTCCCAACTGCTATCTGAGCCATGATCTCAGCTTGGCTTCTCCAAGGATAAACAGTTAACGTTGAGGGGGTAAAAAAAAAAAATGTGGGGGAGGGAGAATTAAAATGCCATCCGTTCTCCACTTCAGACCTTCCCCCCTCCCTTCCTCCACACCCGACCCCCCCCCCACTTCCCCCCTCCCTTCCTCCACACCCGACCCCCCCCCCAACCCTTGCTGTCTCTGCCCCTAGAGCCCAACTTCCACAACTTTCCTGCCAGTTCAGGGAGGGAGGGAGAGCAGAAAAGTAGAGACAGGGTGAAGACACGGATGGCAGGGTCCAGAGGCCAAGAATGGTGGCCAAGGAGTCTGAAACACGCAGCTACAGCGTCAGTTCGTGCGGGTTCCCGATTCTAACTCCCAGTGATGGGAGTAGGGACTATTCCCTAATGACTTCTCCAAATTTTCTCGAAAGGCTGGGAATGTGCCGCGGGGGTACTAGGCGCTCCCCAGGCCAGTGGGGGCAGAGGGACACTAATAGGTACCACCCCAGGCTGCGGAGTTTCCATCTCTTTAGTTCCCTAGAGCTCTGCTTTCTTGCAACGTAGCTGATCTGAGAGGGCGAGATGGAGCAAGTAGCACTTTACAAGGAGCCGGTGCACTTGAGCGCACCCAGCTGTCGGGTCAAGAAAGGAGCGACAGGGCGAGCAGATGAGTGGAGCCTGGCCACGGGAAAGCAGGTCCGACGGGAGGGACAGAGGCGAGCGCGAGTGGGGAGGACAGAGTGAGTTCCCGGGAGGGGACAAGGAAGAGGTGGCTACTCACTGACAGAAAACAAGGCATATAATAACAGTCCATGATTCTTGACAGCCAATCTTGAACAAACTTGCTGGAAAGGCTCAGTTGAGCTGCAGCAGTGCGTGACTCGGGATGGCACTACGGAATGGCTCCTAAAATGAATATTTGAATATAATGAGACTCCGATGCAGACAGCCTCTGTTTTTCTTCCAGCCCCTCTGAGTCACGTGAACCCAGAGGCCCCTCCCCACGCCTGGAGGAGCCCGCCCTCCCCACGGCGGGCGGCGAAAGGGCCCGCGCGCCCTCCCCGCCCGGTCCCCGCCCCCTCCCAGCAAGGACAACCTCCGCGCCGGCTGCCCGAGCCCCAGCGGTCCGGGGAGAGCCCCCGGCGGCGAGCGGCAGGTCCCCCAGCACGTCGCCGGGATCAGCAAGTCCCTCCGGCCGAGGGCACCCTAGCTACAGCGAGCCGAGGACGTGGTCCTTGCCTCTACCTGCCGCGCGCAGTGCCCCCGCCCATGCCCGCGCTTCGGCGACCTGAAGCCTTAGCCTCCAGAGCTCCGAGTAGGATCTGCACCTTCTAGCTTGAGCCTGGCTCACACGGGTCGGTCCGGAGCTGACAGAGTCATGGTGGGGCTGATACTCATTACCAAAAGGCACTTGAAAAAGCTATTAGTAAGGAACCCTTCACGCGCACGCCCCCCGTCACTCCTTCTGGGGTCTCGGAGAGGCCAAATATTGTTCCCAGCGACAGAGTCACCCCCTGGCAAACGCCTGGGAGTGTTTTAGAGGAGCAGGCCAGCCGCTTTAGCTCCCAGCCAAAAGTTGCTGACCCAGTCACGCCCGGAAAGGGGGAGGTAAAGTTTAGAGGGTAGCTGGGACAGGACACGCCGGCTACTTTACGGAGAAAATCTCAGCATTCCACCACCATCAAAATAAATCCCCAAAGAAACCAGGCCGCTGAGCGGTTCCAGGCGGAGGGGCTGTGCCCTGGGCTCGAGGCCCTGGGCGGATTCAACAAGAGGCGTCACCAAGACAAGGCGCTTCACATTTTTAGGTCTTAATGTCGTGGAGGTTTTACAACTGCAGACCCAACATAGAAAGGCAATCTAGCCGCGTTCCCAGAAGTCTAGAAAATCGTGAACAGCTTTCGGCCGGCGTTCAACCTAAAGTCACTCTCAGTTTCTCTCTCCCTGCTCATGTCTTAAAAGCTCCACTTGCCGCCCTCCTCCCCTGCACACTATCACCACCACGTCCTTCCCCCAACCGGTCCCTCCTTTGCGCCAGCTGCAGAGTCAAATCAAATGCTTCCCCAAGAATTCTACCAACCCACAGCTTGAGACATTGCTGGCATGTCCAGACTCTAATCGAAGATGCGGCACTCATGGCGTTCTCGGTGCAAGTGCTAGTTTAAAAAACCCTACCAAGTACAGCTCTGTGGTCACAGGAGACTCGGGTGCCGGGTCCAAGGCCCAAACCCCGCTACCCAAAAGGCCGGGATCCAAGCCCAACTCTTCCTGCCTCGTCTAAGCCTCCAGCCCCTCTTTGCCGAGGTTGTTTCCAGTTTTGGAGTTCGAGGGCTCCGGCTGCCCTATTCATTCTCCTCCACAGACTTGGTTTCCTTTGGGGGGCACTCAAGGGAAGCTTTTGGGCACAAGGAGAATAGGAACCGGCAGGTCAGCCCTCACATCGAGCCGCAGCTGCCCGGCGCCGCCCGAAGCAGCAGGTCTGGGTGCGGAGGCCTCGGGCGCCCCTGCGCGACCGCTAGCGCCCTGCGCCTGGCGCGCCTCTTTTAAGTGGCCTTTGGCTTTCCCGCTCCCGCGCCACCTCTGGGGAGGATCGCGAAAGCGCTGGGGACGGCCACTCTAGTTTTTGCTACGTTTCCCATATAGGGGTGAGCTCTAAATATGGGGGGGGCAGGTAGAGAGACAGGTCCTCGAGGGGCGAGCGGACAATAGAAAGGGCGTGCACCGTCCTTGGTCCCTCAGAACTTTCCCAGGGCAGCAGCTGGGGCGCTGAGCTAAAATCCAGAAAATGTGGGAAGAGGGAGGCGATTTTTCCATTTTGGAGTTCTCAATATTTGTCTCTAATCACTTTTCAGGAAGTAAATAGTTCTAAATTTTAAAAAGTAAAGGCCGAAAAGAAAACTTTTCGCACAAACTTTTCCTTGGAGGAAGAAGTGCAGGCGGTAACTCCTGGCAATCAATTGTCCTCCGCCTCCTTACAGGCATCTCTCTCATCCCAACGCTCAGAGGCAGCCTCAGTTTACCCAACATGTGTCTTTGGGGTTTTAAATGTTCACAAAGCCAGTCCACAAACTGCAGTCCTCGCCGAACGTCCATAGGGAGGGGTCCACACAGTCCCTTAGCCGCCCACGGTCAGGAAGAGTGGCTCCTAAGGGCCCGCCTGGGACTGCTCACACAACACAAAACCGCGACAAGAGGCGTCTCCGGAGTCCCTGGCACCTCCGCCATCATCCCCACAAACTCTGCTATGGAATGATAGAGCAGAGGCACCGTGCATGTTGCAAGTCCACGAAAAGAACTCAAGGAGGAGGCGCATCCTGCAGCGGCAGTTCGCAAGCTCTCTTTGGCGCGGGCGCCGAGTGAGTGGACACCCCCTATGACGGGACCCCTCCAGTGGCACAGGCTTCCAGAGGAGAGAAGGACTGCGCGCTCCACCGCAGAACCAGCCCTGGCTAGGGGTTCTCGCTCCACTTCACCGCCCCTTATCTTTAGATCCCAAAGTCGGCGCCCCCTTTCCTCTCGCAGTCCTTCCCGTCGGGGCATCACGACTGCCCAGCCAACCCGCAAGGCGCTCGGCTCCAATCTTTCCCGAACCCCGATTAAGGGACTTCTCTCTCTTCATCCCTTCTCTTCTCCGCTCCCCCGTACTGCCCAAAGGTAGACCTTCGCCGGGGCAGCCCAATAGAGGTGGCCGGGATAGAATCAGATGCATCTTATTACACCAGCATCCCCTGCTCCAGCACGGCCGCTGGAAAGCATTGGTCACCTTGTGGCTCGGCCACAGCCAGTACCTGCCTATCCTCCCCCGAGGATGCGCTTCGGCCCACTTGGCCCCGCGCTCCTCGCCAGGCAGCCTGGCTCACCATAGATCCGCGCGGCAGCGGGCTCGCCAGCAGAAGCTCCTGGGGACCTCTGAACGGCTGCAGTGAACCTGGACGAGGGTCGGGGACTGGGGCGCTGCAGGCTCGAGACGGCTCGGACGGGATTCCCATCAAGGAGAGAGGCTAAGATACTCAGCCCCGGGCAGTAGCTGCGTTTCGATGTCCTGTCCCTCCACTCGGATGCCAAACTCACCTAGCTTCCGGGCCGGGCTCTGCGCTCCTTCCCTTCCTCCCTCCCTCCTCCTCTGCCCACTTGCATCCTCTCCTGCCTCCTCTTTCCCTCTCCTTCTCTTTCTTTCTTTCTTTTCCTCCTCCTCTTCCCCAGCAGCCCCTCCCTTCTTCCCTCCTCCCTTGCCTGCCTCCCTGTCTGAGGCTAGGAGCCCCGCCCACATCCTCCCTTCCAGCCTCCCGGCCTCGCCTTCCAGACCCGGGTCCCGGAAGCCTGGGAAGCGCCTGAGTCCGCAGCTGCCGCCCGGGTTGGGACGCAGCAGCCTCCAGCTCCGGGAAGCGGCCAGGGCTCACCTGGGGACCACGTGCAGAGGTACTAGAAAGCATGCACCGACTAGTCGCCTTGCCTTCCAAAAATACCCATGGGAGTCTGGGCTTCCCTGAGTTTAGAGTAACTGCTGCCCAAACTGATGATTAAAACACTGAGTAATCACCATTTACCCCGAGTAATTAGAGATAATGAAACACCTCTAAAATCAGGTTATGGAGAAAGGAGCTGTTGGATTGGTTTAAAGGGTGGCCTTCCATAAATTGTTAAAGGATTTCCAAACGTTGAGAAACAGGCTGTGCTCAGAGCTGTGTGCCTGAT